CCTCGTCTTTCCCGCGGTCATGCCGACGGCCCGACCGAGCGGCGGAATTAATTAAACTTCTATTTACGATATCGATGAATCAGCGCTATCACGCCGCGGCGACTGCCAATGCGGAGGCGCTGCCCGACGTAATAAATTTCGAAAAAGCGACACCCCGCTCGGGATTACCCAGGCTTTTTCTTCTCTTTGGCTCTCTCTCGATCCTTCACCCTTCCGCCCTGTTGCCAACCCCGTGCCACCCGGTCGCGGGTCCTGCGCCGTCGACGACGACGTCGCCGTCGGACGAGGAGGCTGTCAGGAACACGACGGCCGTTCTTATTCCGGAAATTCCTGGATATTATTAAGAGGGAGACCGATTACGTCGCGCGAACGAGGCGGACAAACGGCTACTAATCACCCTGGACCCCCTTGTGATAAGCACCCTCCTTTTCGGGGCTGCACCCCGTTAACGACGCCGCTCCTACCGTGGCGTGGTTGTACTTGTTTTTTGATGTTTGCTTCCCGAGGCATTCTTATGTACGTGTTATTTAACGGAACGAGCTCGTTATGGTACCGCTTCAAATGACACACGGAAGTCCACTGAACTAATTAGCCGTTTAATTAAACCCTTGGACATGTTGGTATGTTTACTTAGAGATAGTAACGAAAATGTGCAGGGCGTGTATTTATTGTCCCCGCGGGGATTATTTAAAGGGGTATGGATTGATTTTACGCATTGGCTCAAGCTATTATTTCGGATCCGTTTACGATTTGGTAATGGATATATTAATTAGATGTCAACGTTTACAATGATACCCAACAAGAGAATGGTTCCGAAATCGCGTTAATTTTACTATGGGATATAGAGTTAAAAATCACATGTTAAGTACAGTATAAAGCTACAGTGGGACAATGGAATAAATATTTATCATAAAATTCCTTGCTAGATATAGCTCCACGAATGACTTGAGCCATTCAATTGTATGTCGAAATAAAGTCATTACGCTATTCACTAGAAATGAATTTAAAGGTATTCGCTATAATAACGATCAAGCATCACTGAATAAATCGTGCACTTATTTCTCCATTTTCCGATTTTTCCTCGCCATGATGTCCATGTTGTGAGGGGTACATGATGACACCGCGATACTCAATACTTTGACAATATTAGAAATTTTTTAGTAAATCATTAAACGGAATTAATCCATTCAGTGAAATAATTTAAAACAGATTCTTGGTTTAATATGCCGTGAAGGGGGCACCGACAAAAGGAAATCCAATAATCCTGAATCAGCCCGTATAATTAACCCACTTCTCTTCATATCTTAATGTAGGAGCAGACCGGCAGGTTCTTCAAGGACCCCACGAAGTGGTCCTCAATTCTCGTAGCTCATCTCAGAAGTTATATCTGGACTCACGGACGAAAGCTCACGAGATCATTTACCCGATCGCGTCTTGAATTCCGAGCAAACTGAACGAATTCCGGCTATTCCCAAAATCTTCGCAATCTCGGCGCGCGCGTTGATATTGCAAATGACATTTAAAAAAAAAACTAAACCTCCGATGTGGACACGTCCTTGTTCATTGGATTAATTAAACATTTATGCAATGAACTATAAATGAAGGTAAAATCCCTTTCAAGGGTTTCAAATGCAGCTTTAAAGTTCGAAACGATTCGGTACACTCAGTTCGTAGAAAAGTTTCATGAACGACTGACCTTTCGGATGCCACTTCCGCATCCCCTTAAAGGGCACGAAATGTCTGCCAGTGATATTTCCTTCCTACGAAATATCTGACATCAATTGCGTATACGAAACACAGTTAATAAAAGGAAAAGAAGAGTTATTCTAAATATCAAACCCGTGGCCAGAGCATATGAAAAGAATTCATCGTTTCCAGAATCGACAAGACCTAACAATAAATCCGAAAAAGCGTAACATTCCGTGCTTGACCCCGGAATAAACGTCATTTGTTAAACAATCCCTGAGGTCCCACTCCACTCAATTTGAAGCAGTTAATTGTTTTCACAAGTTTCATTACCCTGTAGAACGATACACCCAATGGACATCAAACACCTTGAATTCCTGCCTCTCGTGTAACCATTCCCGGCATCGATTTCCCTTTCATCGGCGTCATTTCATCAACACTTTTTTCCGGATCCCTTGGTCCGCTTCCACGAGCCGTTTTTCCAAAAGTCTAAAGCGCGTGAATAGCCCACGGTTTATCGCGTGCCGATATTAATCGCAGGAAGGATCGCTTTACTCCGCCGAGCAATTGGCTCGGCTTGATTGCCGGTTGATCGATTGGAGGGTAAAACAAAAAAGGAATCAAAACCCATGCCTTTCGGGGTGCACGAAACCACGTGGAAATTGGAAAAGCCGGCGATATGGCGGTCAGTGGTGCATTCTCGATTGATTTGCGGGTCCCGCCGTCTTGCCGATCTCCCTCTGAATGCATCCGTCATTAAAATATGCATCCCCGATGCACGTCCGTGCACCACCGTGGAGGGGATGAAGGATTGCAGAGGCAGATTTTTCCAATTTGCGCGGATTGCGCGCGGCTCGACGCTAGTGCACCGTTAAAAAAATTCATACAATTTAGTTCCAGATAAACCCTTGATAAAACAAAGGGTTTTTGTTATTTACGTCCAACGATAATTCGTTGTAATCATAGCTGCAATTGTTCACAAGGTAGCCGAGGTCGCCTTAAACGTCAGGTCTTAAATGATTTAGCATTCGGTAGTCGTTTGAGTCATAAAAAGGACGAATGCGCTTTTTATGTCTCCGCGATAAAGTGCTTCGGTCCAAATAACGTCCCAGGGTAGGTAGAGATTTACTAATTTCTTATCCCCGCGGTCCTGAAGCTGATAAAGAGACGGGAGTAAATCATAAGGTCCAGTATTAAAGTACTGTATTAAGTTCCTGGCCATTTGGCAAAGTCTCCCCGGCAATCTTGAGATCTCGAAGCAAGGGAGATAAGGGACAGGCCGGTTCGATAAGAGCAGAGCAGGGGTGCCGCTGGGTGCCCAGGGTGGAAGGCGGGGAGAGGGTCTATCCGAGAGGAACGTGCGACTAAATGAAAGGAATGTAAATCATAAAAAGTTACGAGCATTTAAATCTCCCACAAGGTGGCGCACGTTCGCCTTAATTACCTTACATCTCTCATTCCCCCACCTTCTCGTCGGTCCCTTACCCTGTCGCGGAAGGGAGGCTAACTCTCGAGAATCAGTCGCCCTTTCTGCATCTTTCCACCCCCTTCTGCCTCCTCGCCCTCTCCTTTTCCTTCGCCCTCGCGTCCGTTCGTTCCCTCTCATTTGCATTCCGTGAGAAGCACGGGTCGCCCGGTCTGCCCCACTCCTCTTCCTCTTGCAGAAGCCATCGTTGCCCGTTCTCTAGCTCGGGGCGAGCCCGATACCTCGCACTCTCGGAAATTCACCCTAGCCGCGAATAGATCATCTTCAGGGGCGTGAGCTCTTGGGGATAATTAGCTACGTGGCCGCCACGTAGCTACCCCCTGATACGCGAGAGAGACGAAGGAGACCTCAGAATAAAACGGTAACGCAAAGGGGGATATCTACAAGAGTTAAGGCACAAATAGAGATCATTGGAAATTAGTTAATTAAGATGATATGAAGGGCGCTGAGACATTTAATCGAGGTCGATAAATGTCATTTCGGTAAAGTAATGATAAAGAGATCGACGTACAACTGTCGAAATCCTATGAATTCATTACGATTGTTTAGGACCAACGTCGCTATCCGTAACGTTTAGCTGCAACTAAATTTTTGCTAAAAAAACGGGTTAGCCCCGGGACAAGCCAGCATTCTCTTGCAATTGTTGGTAAAAGTATTTTCAATATTTTCCTATCTGATTCTGTAATATTCCATTTTTTCGGTACTCTGCAAGGTGCGGCCCCGGGCGAGGCCAAAGGAACGACGGATTCCAGCTTGGCCAAGGTTAGTTAACGATGTTTGCCCGAGGTTAGGGACTCTCTGCCGGGGTTCCCCAAATATTCCCTGACACCCCTTTCGCGGAACGAGGGAGAGGGCGGAGACGGGAGCTACCCTTGTTTATGTTATGAGGGATGCGAAGGCGAAGCGCCACCCTGAAACCTCGATCGAGTTTGTACAATGTTACGCGACACCTACACTCGATTAGCCCACGGAGACCGGGACTTCCGTAGTCTAAGGAGGTTGCGGATACAAGTTTGCTAATCCTTCCGCAATTCTAGGCTAAATTGTAATCTCTTGAGTCGAGATTTTGGGGTGGATTCGTTTAAACTCGCTTCAGGGGTCATATGCAGTTGTCATAAGGGAAATTCAAGAATTTCTTCTCATAACTGAAATGCATTTTTTTTCATTGAAAACGGAGCGTGATTTCATAGTTCAAATTGATCAAATAGATCAAATAGATCAAATTTCAGTAGGCAAATTGATGCGATCTAAAATACATGCCTACAACAAATACAATGCTGAATGTTGAATTGACCTTTTGGATTTGTTCTTATTTAGATGGGACCGCCGAATCCCATCCACCACCGAATCTATCAATTTCTTATGCAGATTCATTCGAGCGGGAAGTAAGTGCATAATGTTGCGCGATGTAAATGATTGTCTACGTTTGCATTTGAAGAAGGACACGGTAACATTTGACAGAAATTTGGGCCGGTCGGACCACCTTGACTTGATTTCTGGTTCAATCTGTCGGCGGCCACAATAGGTGGTTAAAATCGAAGCGTGTTTCATTGAATAGGTACCGCGAGTAAATCTACATATGCGCCGGCACTGTGGACATGCCCTCCACGTATACATATTTATACGTGGAAGCATTCACAAAGGGGTGGCAGGTAACCCATAGAGATGGGGTGGAACTTGTCGGGGTGGATGGGATATACGTCATAGGGTGACAAGCGGAACAAATGGAATCTGAAACAGCAGTCCTTCGATGTAAACTGCTTATGTATTGGCCTTTATGGCATCCTCCGATAATGACCTAATAACAGTACAAATAATGGTCGCTTACCTCCTCCGCAACGTTCTCGAGTAATCCCTTCCTTCCTTCGATTCTCGACCAGGCCCATTCGATTATCGATCGCTGCCCGAACAACTGCTCCAATTTTCATGCTCCGCATAAGTAACGCTCCGACTCGACACCAAAACGTCCATTTTCGCTCCAATTCTGGCACGTTATACAGTTTCTGAAAATTCATTGGAACATTCGTTACGGGTGGAATCGAATATGGGTATCGATTAATAAGAAGAGTGGATGAGCCCCGATTGTTGAAGACAAATGAAGGATGCTTTAATTGGAAAGTGGACCGTTTGTTTTTCTTTCTGCCGTAACGCTCTACGATATTTTTATCAGGCACTTTAATTTGCGCGCTGAATTTAATTACGTTCCAATATTAATTAAAAGGAAAAGACTTGGAGTGTAAAATATTACATAGGTGTTTCGTCCATTCGGAAAGCGAGTTTCCATTTCTCTCGAGTCTCAACGTCTCGTGGTGTATGAGAAAAGTCGTCAAAATGTTATGGATGGGATAAGATAGGATTATGGATCGCGAAAAAGAAGGGAAGAAACGGTAAATGTAAGAATTATTGCGTTACTTTGCGTTCGTCTGGTGGCGGAGAGAAACTCCGGGAGGAGGTATAGTTGTGAAGCGGAGGGGATGATTTACTTTCGGATTTTCAGTCTCGGGGGTACGTGATAAACTACTGGCCCGATAAAAGCTTGGCAGTACGCACCTGTACTCCTACGGCGGCTTAATGTTCATTCGCTGATTAGATATTGTCACATCTAAAGAGTGGAAATGCTGCGTGGACCATTCTCGATTTCATTCACGAGCACTATTACGAACCAGCTACTATTGCTTAAAAAAGTTTGCGTTATTTTTTGATAACTTGAAAAATAATATTTATAATGCTCCTATGGTGGCTTAATGTTCATTCGCTAATTAGATATTGTTACGACTAAAGAGGGGAAAGTGCTGCGTGGACCATTTTCAATTTCATTCACGAGCACTTTTTACGAACCAGCTACTATTGCTTACAAAAGTTTACATTATTTTTTGATAACTTGAAAAATAATATTTATAATGCTCCTATGGTGACTTAATGTTCATTCGCTAATTTGATATTGTCACATCTGAAGAGGGGAAAGTGCTGCGTGGACCATTTTCAATTTCATTCACGAGCACTTTTTACGAACCAGCTACTATTGCTTAAAAAAGTTTGCGTTATTTTTTGATAACTTGAAAAATAATATTTATAATGCTCCTATGGTGACTTAATGTTCATTCGCTAATTTGATATTGTCACATCTGAAGAGGGGAAAGTGCTGCGTGGACCATTTTCAATTTCATTCACGAGCACTATTACAAACCAGCTACTATTGCTTACAAAAGTTTACGTTATATTTCGATAACTCGAAAAATAATATTTATAACGCTCCTACGGTGGCTTAATGTTCATTCGCTAATTATATATTGTTACGTCTAAAGAGTGTAAAATGCTGCGTGGACCATTTTCAATTTCATTCACGAGCATTATTACGAACCAGCTACTATTTCTTACAAAAGTACGTTATTTTTTGATAACTTGAAAAATAATATTTATAATGCACTTACGGCGGCTTGATGTTCGTTCGCTGATTAGAAATTGTCACGTCCAAAGAGTAGAAAATGCTGCGTGGACCATTTCATACCGTTCCATGTAATTTCGGTAAAGTAATGATAAAAAGATCGATATACCACTATCGAAATCCCATGAATGTATGACTGGCTATATTTTGACGAACCAACGTCGCCATCTGTGGCGTTCGGCTGGAACTAAATTTTGGATGAAGAACGAAATTTCATGAGTTTTAGGATCTACTTTAGAAGCTCCATATCCACGCGGTAAAATTTGAAACGAATCGGTACACCCAATTCGGGAAATACTTTCCGCAACGATTTGACTTCTGATATATATACAGGCTGACTTTTTCATATCCTCTTAAGAGTGCATATATCTTACCTCCGTAATTCCACGTCCGCGTGAGCTCCCATTCCGAGGCTTTCCGGCGCAGCGGGGAAAGAGTTCCGAATTCGTCGATACCGAACCCAGTTAAGTCCCGGTCGTAAACGGATCTCTCCGGGACACGTCGGGAGGCGGGCCCGGGGTTAAATCCAGCGGTCGGTCGGCCGAGCTCCCGAAGTTCCGGCTCGGAGGGGCGCCTCGACTCGGCGCGGTAACGACACCTCGGAGTGTCGCGAGCGCCCGCGGGGCGGCGCGGCGGTCGGTCGGTCGGTCGCGAAGCGGGTTACGGTCGAGGAGAAGGACGGACGCGAGGAGCGGGGCCGCCGGCGGAGGGGAGGTGGCTCATGCATATGCCACAATCTCATTTGACTGCATAATCGCATTCCTGCCCCGCGGGATCACCGTGTCAACAAGTTACATATTTTTCTATTCTCCCCGGGCGAGCGAGGGGGCGCGCCGGCGGAACCCATTGTTCCGATTTCGCGGCGTCCCCGCTAATTCGACGATTATTTGGACACGGGCTGCGGGGCGGATGTATACCGTACTCACCGGGAGCTACTACGGGATTCATGGGAACCGCGTTGTCATCCTTTCGAGGCAACCGAGCGTGCAGGGAGAAACCGTATAGCCCGAATTTCTCGCTTTTTCCCGCGGTGACTGCGCCGAAGTTTGACGACCCGAGCGCGGCCGCCCCGGAGAATGGAGAGGTTATGTCGCCGGGCGAAATGCTTCCCGGTGAGCGTACGCGCGGAAGGAGGGAAAATTAAACCGAATGTGAAACTCGGATGATTAGGTTTGTCGTTCACCCCGTTTGCTTTTACTTGTCGTCGGTCTGTGAATCGAGGTTTCACTTACGTGCGCCGAAACGCCGCGGCGAAGCAGCGAGCAAGGTAGGTATGTCAACTTCTTAATAGAGTTCCCATTTGATGCCGAGAAATGTGAAATGTGAAATTTCCCTCGGCAGATTCTGGACTGAATTCCTGACAAGGGTTTTCGCATTTCTTCGAAGGACGTCGAAATCTTCGCAATGAGTGGCCGAGAGTGAGAGTGCTCCCGTGTACAAGGAGGTAAGGAATTTTTCTTATTTCCGCCGCCTGAATGCCTTATATGAAAAATAAAAAAAACGCTGTTAAACTAGAAGGTATTTTCCATACCATGAACTAAGATTTTTGAAAAATATGGCGAGGTTTGGAACCAAAAATTTGAAATTTTGCCTGAAAGTGCTCTTTTAATGCCAAAATGACATTTTTCATCCAGTCAAAAGAATCCTAGTTCATGGCATGACAAAACATGTACCGAACACGCTGATTCGACCTTGAAATTTTAATGATATTCTAGAGAGTATAAACTTTGAAAAAATGCAAAGAAAAATCGATTTGTCAAAAGTGTCACCCATATATACATATATATAACGTCTCATGTCCGGACGTCTAGCCTTTCAGTGTATCTAAAATAGAGTTCATAGATATATATCTTACATCCGTTTAATGAACCTTTATATACGATTAATTTACGGATATTCCACGATCCGCGGTGCCTGGGAAATACCTTAGTAATTCATGGGATTTCTGATACGACGCTTATAACGTCGCGGTTCTTCTGTTCCTGGGAGATGGACGAATTCCGCCCTCGAAAACGAGCTGGTAAATAAGTCCCGACAAGAGGCCACGAGGCTGGATAGAAAACGGAACGGGACTGGGTCGTGCCCCGACCGGAAATAGAGGGCCGATCGATCGTGCCTGGAGGTCGTTCCTTCCTGACCGATTCCGCGTTTCTACACCGAATCGCTATTTCGGCTATTCCGTTTTTTGATGCGCCGGAAGCGAACCAAGTCCCCGATTTAATGCTTAGGAGCTGATCTCGACTAACGAGTGCCCGGCATTGCTGATCTTCCGCTCGGAACTTCGCCTAACTCTCTTCAGGGTTGGCGTGCTTAAGATGAAATGAAAGGCGTTGAGAATTATACAAAATGAAGCGTTCCATGTCACATTTTGGTAACATTGACACTTTCAGCTTGGTGTATAGTAACTCGATACTTTCCTTCTATTTATATTATAATAATTTGTGGTTTTCTTATGAAACCAATGTACGTGTCTCTGTACGCGGTTGCTGGGCACAGGAGGGTTAACAAGAAGGATGCAAAGTAAAATCAATACAATTTGTAGTCTGAAATAGTACCCGTGGTTTTCAGTAAACAGTTGCAGATATTGATTTTACTTCCCGTACAGTATTAAATGTACCGAGGAGCTTCGAACATGCTCGGAGCAACGAGAATCCCAGCTTGCTATACCAGGTCGCCCTAAGGAGATCCCTTAGTCACTCGACTTAAAAATTTCTTCCCGTAGGTAATCGATTATTCATAGAGCCTTTGCTTCTTTAATTTATGTCCAGGCCCCGGGTTGGATGAAAAACATAATGTGGCCTGCAGGAACCTCAGAGGAAACTCTATCCCATGGCTCACGAGGTCACTTTCTTCACACTCGGACCCCGAAGTGTCCCCAAAAAAGTCAACTCGAACCAAGCGTGTCCATCCATCTAAACCCTCATTGGGAACCCATCAAACTATATTTTCTGGAGGCAAAATCTGCTGATCCTCGTGACAATTGGTCGATCGCACCTGGGGTTGATCGCGTTTCCCAATTACGGATCGCCGACGTGACGCGCGATGCGCTTGATTATCTCTCCTCGTGTCGGGGCTCAGCCTAGGATAGTTAGCCGGATCAAGCTACGATCATTGGTCGCTCCCTCCGTGCTTTCGCCCTTCCACGTGTGTGTATACGTGGGGACACGTGGGGACATGTGGGAATACGCGAGAATACGCGAGAATACGCGAGATTACGCGAGGGTTCGTACGCAGGTTAACATATACGGCAAGACGGACATCGATCTCTTTGACGATCTCGAAGTGTACCAATAAGTATGTTACGAATCTAATGCGACGACGTTTTGCCGAATCCATTGAAACGGCTTGATTTTCATCCTCGCCAAGGAATTAATTCTCGTCTTTACATCCCATGGGTCAGATTTGCACATTGTCGCGAGCGCGTGGATGTTACGCATATCGACTAACAATAAGTATTAGGGGTACCCATGAGTGATCAATTATTTAGAAAGAGGTGTTTAGACGTCAAAGAAATTCGTTACTTATGGGTACCCCTGATATTACGCGATATTACGCGACGGTTAGCACGCAGGGTCAGATGCGTACGCGTGGATTTCCTCCTCGGACTTGGGAACTCAGCCGGAAATCTTGGGAGGCCCGAGTCTTTGTCCGTCGGCGATGTCTGTAATTTTGGGAATCCTGCTTGCCCGGGAGGTTCCGCGGGTCCTCCCCATCGCCCGATGAACTTCGGCACGAACTCGGGCTCGCATTATCTAACCGAGCCGGGGCTATGTCGCGGGACCAAAAGGAACTCACCCTAGAGGCAGGTGGGACCAGCTCCGACCGAGGGCCCTAGTGCGATTCGGTGTCCGCCCCCACGTCCCCCGGCCCTATCGAAAATCGAAACGACTCTTCCCTCCTACTTTTTTTCTGCATGCTCTAAGTCTCGTTTCTGTCCGCTGCCTCTGCGAGTTCGGCACTTGCCGCGCTTTAAAGTCCGAGGGATCCAAACACGAATTCGATGGAGTTGCCGAAGTAGCAACTCCTCTCCAGCGTTCGATATACCTGCTGTGCGGATGAACTTAATGTGATATGAAAGGATATGTATGAAGCGTCAAAATATTTATATAACTTTTCTCCAAACTGGGTGCACCAAATAATTTGGTACTTAACACCTCGAAACATCGAATTGTTTCGAGCAGTTCCCGTTTTCAGCGGTTGGGTAAAATGTGGATGAATGTAAATCGAAGGTGGCGGGGAAAAGACGGTCGGCAGGGTGCAGACGGCGGTGGAAATTCGAAGAGAATACCAATGGTGGTTAAGCCGAGGCAACGATCGACACTAAATTTACGGTCGGCGTCCATGCGTTATTATGTCGGGTCGGCCGCTCGATTGTGCTCGCGGCCGAATATAGACCACACGCGCGAAAATTTACGATGGCGGCCATTGTTTCGGGCGGCACGTTTTATTTTCGGCTTCGCCAACCCTCCTGCTACTTTATCCCCTCGTCGCGGATCGCCTCACGATATTCGTGACTTCTAAACGAAGTACGGCCCTATTTCTAGGGGGAAGTGCGCTGCAGACTAATCGAGCGGTCAAGGTTGGGGGAAATTACGATTTCTTATATTTAGATAAGATGGACAGCTCCGGAAGCATTAGGAAATTATCTCCGTACAGGTAATCCGTTATTCATAAAACTGAAATGGATTTGTTCGGATGAAACTTGTGTAGAAAGAAAAAAAATAAAGGAACAGAGACTCACGGTAAATGAAACTAGGGCGAAGGTGTGTCCTGATATTGAACTCGGAGATTCATTACGTGAATCGTAATAGTGGCTAGGTAGGGTTAACCCTTTGCAGTCGAGAGGTGACTCTCAGTCACCACTTGGTCCGATGCGGAAACTCGAGAGGTGGCTCTCGGTCACCATTTGGTTTGATGCGGAAACCTCGATCGACAACAAGGTATATATGTATAATTTCACGGAGGGTAGAACGATACCCCTTGCCATTTAATTGGGACGACCTAACAAATAGGAGCAGCCATGTCTAACAAAAAGAAAAACCATTCCACAAGAAGTCCACGGTAGCATCCCGCAAAGTCTGTTACTGTCAAAAAAATCAATGTTATGATAAACTGTATCAAATATATGGGCGGCGTTAATCCAGCGGATCAATATGCCTCGACATCCTATTTTCTAAGAAAGTCCTTTAAATGGCGACTAAGGATACATAAAATATTAAAATATCATAGTCTTATACGTCAATTTGTACGTGAAATCATTTTAGTCAGCTGGATGAAATTCCCCAAGTGTGCGGAAAATCGTCTGTAGTTCCTGGCTCGTCCGGGCGGAAAAGGCCTCGAGTGCAAAGGGGTAATTTCCACCATGAAAGAGTATTTCCGATCTCAATCAGAAGCTCAGTCATTTAACGAGAGAAGAAAAACGAAGAGGACGAACAATTTGGATTTCAATATTTCCAAGTTCTCCGTTGAGATTAGAAACTCGAGATATTTGAATAAAATTTTCCCGAGAGCGAAGTATCGTATCCGA